CATGTGTTTGTATGGTCACAATGTGTCAAATAGAAACACAGGCACGAAATGATTTAACGCTATAACCCCACCCCCTCTGTGAGCTCTATAGCTTTTAGCAAAGCCTCACATCATTGAATATATTTTTAAAAACTGGTCCCTTTTTCAAGCACATTGTGTTCTTCAAAAAGGCTTAAAAATTCTTAACAATTCATTTTAAAAAAAAGACAACTGAAAGAACAGGGGCACTTCAGCGGCTGATCAAATTTCAGCTGGGGTCAGTGACCCCCACCCCCCAAAAAATGCACCACTGAAAGCCCATAATCGGATTGTTTTCTATATGTTTTATCTGAAACAAACAGGCGACTGAACCTCAGTGGAAAGCTAATTGAGTGAGTTGTACCGTCCCATTGCCGCCCCGCATCTTTACAAGAGGCTGAGGAAACAGCTGACCAAAATGACTTCAAACAATCTGACCACTTGAAAGAGGAATCATAAAATATATCTAATTTTATTGAGATTACATTGTTTTTCTCATTATCTGCTTGACATATTCAGATTTTTGGAAACGACATGCAAAATGACATGTTTAATGCCCAGTTCATGCATGGCAGCAATCAAAAGGAGGTACTTTTCCATTATGGTGGTTAAATTACATGCTTGGTTACAGAAATACTGCACATGATTGTGTTGAAGATGCTGTTGGACGTGCTGTTGTATGAGAAAGTCATAAAAAATAATACTGCTCCATTTCAGTGCTTCATATTTTGTGATCATTTTCAATCAACATTACAACAATCAGCAGCAATTAAGGAACAATTAGAAATACTTTCATGTCCGTTTGCATTTCATTTGCCTCGGAAGAATCTGAGTGCGTTTGCTGATACCACTCCCGCTCTGCCAGATAAATAGCACTCATAAAGCTCAGGCGTCTGCTCCACAGGACTGCAGGAAGTTTACAATAAATGTCCGGATAAATCCACGAAAGGTGGCGTTGCCAACTCGTCTCCAATGAAATACGCTAATGGCTGCTCAAAGCGCCACACAAAGGTGATGATGCAATACCATCATTTTCATGTTAATTGAGTTAATATTTCATTTACAATCCAAATCAAGGAATTTACAACAGGGCAAAGAGGAAGATGGATGTCGCGGGTGGAGACTGAGGCAGAGAAACACATCCTGTCAAAAGCTGCCCCTCTCTTGTCTCGCAGCCAGCTGACTATAACACTGATCCAATGAACCTCAGTTTTTGTCAGCAGTAGTTCAACGTGCTGTTTACCCTGCAAATGTACCACTAATTGACTTGTGGTCATGGCCAAAGATAGAGTCTGTCCAGCTAAGCACAGGCCTGTGGCAAGGGCACCAACACCAAGGGCCACAGTGGTTCCAGAAAGCCTTTTCCTTCCCTTCCCACACTCTAACGCCAAGAAGAAGAGACACAACTGTGGTTCTGTCCCTGCTGCTGCAAATGGAACATGACCCAAGATCGGCTTTGAAAAAATAACTATAAATTCCTTAAAAACTAGATTGTGTCCACAGAAAATCTGCAGAAATAAGATCTTAAGAATGTTGAACCTGATAAATGTAGGAAATGCATTTCTTAAATAGAATGCGAGATTCTGCTTTACCTTTGCGACCAACAATATGAGTCAATGTTAACTATGGGTGCTTTCCATCAAAATGAAACTTATTTTTATTGGTTGTTTTAGTCCTCTTTTGGTCCACCTCCTCTCTGTTCTGACAGGTTTCCACCTACACCACTGACACTGCTAACCATCAGCTTTCTGCTGTGATGGCAACAATGGGTAGCGAGAAGGCTGTCATTCCTATAATGACTGTGCTGTCATGAATATAATGGCTATGCTGTTATGTTTTATGGACAGGAAGTTTACATATTCCCAGCACAAGCGAGAAGCACTGGTGGAGGGCAGCTAGCTCGGCTGGACGGAACCTGCATCACTTCTATCTACTTCTGCACGGTTGTTTTGAAGCTGTGACACTGCATATTTGAAGCCGCCTGACATTTTAGTTTGTACGTTGAACATTTAATGCATTCATATTTATGTATTTTCTTACTTGTTTTGAATGGTTTCTACATAGAAAAAGGCAATGATGGCGTTATGTGATCTGTAGAAATGAATCAGTCAAAAATCAGGGCAAAATGATATGGACATCAGTCAAATGTCAGTGAGTCACATTACCTTGCATTTACAGGCTACTCAAATGAGTGTGAATGATTTGGGACTAGCTGTTTACTGACAGCAAGCACCTGAGTCTCTGAAGTGCTACAGGTTGCCAAGTATGGCAGGCATACAGCGAGCTTGTCATTATTGAGAGTAAGCTCCAAGGTGAAATGCAACAACCAATGTCTGTCTATATATGAGCCTGCTCATTGCAGAGCTACTCAGTGAATACATTCATCATATGATACAATGTCCTGATTTGACATGTTTTCTATAATGCAGTAAAGTAATTAACAAGGCTGCTCAGCGCCCATAGATCTGTTGGCACCTAGTATCCATGGCTACACTGTGTTAGAAGTGTAACCACTTAAACATTTACAAAAACCAACAAGGCAACCATTCAATCTCTGACAGGCAATAAACATTTTTGTGTCCTCCAGATAAATCTAAAAACTTCATGTTGTAGTCTGTCGTTAAGGATGACTTCAAATACAGTATCAAACTAACGGTCCTCACCAGAGCAACATACCTCTGCCAACAGTTTCCTTGAATTGAATCAAGTTGCAGCAAATTTCACACACTCAGAGACATCTGTGCCCTAAATGTGCATGATCTCCAATGTTAACGGAAGTTAAAAAAAATCCTGGCTCCTCAACCCTGAGCTCAATCCACACCAAAATACAGACAAATAAAGATGACAACATAAGTGGAGGTAAAATTAATACTTTAAATTTGCCACACAAAGACCTGTTAACACATACAAAAACCTTGCACTATGAAGCTTCTCCATCTGCAAATGGTTATTAGTCGTATTTTCTTATTTCTGCATTGTGCCCGAGCTCGTCATCCAAAATGCAAATCTGAATTGCTTGCATCTCTATTGATGTATCATGAAGCCATGCAAATCAATTCAGCAACGCTCTGCAGCATTACAGCTACAATGAAACTGGAAGGGGTTATTTATTTATCTATTTTGAAAGGCGTGGGTAAGTCATAAGAAAGAGCGATGTAATCAGGCCATTGACCATGACTTTCATCATTCCTGCCAGAAGCAGGCCTTGGTGCCAACGAGTCAGAGGGTAGCCCATCCAAGAATATCTGGTCCAACTTTCACAAGATGAAGTGCCATCTGTTTGTCTATCGCCTCGGTGCCATGGCACAGGTTAGATCAAGTTATTGCAGCAGGCATGTCTCAAGCCTCTGCAGCTCCTAATTCATTAGTCATCACAGTGAAGTCCTCTCTATATGGAGCCTCATTCTGATACTTATTTCAATAAACAGATTCTACATGTGAATATCCAGAAAGGGGTAGGGACAAGATGTGGGCCAAAACCCTTCTGGTTTCTGCTCCCAGTTTGTGCAGGATTTGGTTGTCCACAGGTGGACAGTCCATGTCGAGAGCAGAGGAGGTGGAAACACACTGACTGAAATGCATCAGCTAACACCTTTTTAATTTTTCTGCATTCAAATGCAGATCACTGTAAATAAAGATTAGTCGTCTGGATCTAAAACACCAATAAAAGTATCAGCGTTTGTGTTTTGCGTGGAGAAACATTCGACTACTGTGATAAAAGAAACAAGTCTGACTGTAAATAGTGTACCGCAAATGGAAGAGTGAGTTTTGGCCTGGATATCCAGTGGAAGCCCCAAAAAATAATGAAGTTGCCAAAAGACACAAATTCATTGACAGACAATAGTGAAGACAATACTGACAATCCTGAACACACAGGATTATTCAGTAAACTACAGTGGAGACTGGATTAAGTCGTGTACTGAACAGCGTCTACCAAAATCAGGATCCGACACTAATGCTTGAAATGTGGTTTGGTGGCTGGCCCGTGGCGTTGACAGTACATTTACAGTACATAAGCCGGATTTTTGGACAAACTGACTAATCATGAACAAGATGCTGCTAAAGTGTTAAAAGCTGACTCCCTTCGCTTACTGTTTACATCATTGCCATTTTTGTTTAAATCTGATGATATGAATCAAGAGTGAACGATGCAAGCTGTGCTCGCATAGATAACAACTGCAACACGTTTCTATTTTACATGTTTAGATGCCAGGCATGCTGCGCTGAGTTCGTCTGTTTTACCAGTTAATGACAGTTTAATGGGCATCCATGGTGAGAGGCACTGCTGCAAGAGTAATGGATGCAGCGGTCTGTCCGTCCACAAGTCTTTGTCGGGTGAGTTGGAGGGAAGCTGGTGGTGGTTATGAGGGTTAATCTGGAACTCACCTGACCAAGTTCAGCTTAGAAGCTTCACTCAGCCCACAAAAAAAAACAGAATGGATGCTGAGGTAGATAGAGTCTAATGGATTCTATTTCACCAACCTGTGAAACCACACCATTACCTCTCCATTACAGACACACTGGTGGAAACGTTGCATTTGGTAAACTTACATTTTGCTGCTGCAATATGCTGTTTTTCTCTCTCTCTCTCTCTCTCTTGCATGACGACCTGCACCAATCATTTTCTCCTTTTGTGTTTCCTCCTTTGTTTGCATTTATATCCACACTGGGCCCTCGAACCGTGAGTCCAGGATTATATAACTGGAGATACATTCACAGAAACCCGCATGCATCCTCTATCAAGTGGTTTTGGCGTTTGCATGGAGTCGATCGTGTTGTGGCACAGACAGACCCAATTGTTTCTTGAACCGTGCCACAGCCAGGAGACAGGGGGATGAAAAACAGGATTGGTCAATGAGTTGTAGGGCTATAAAGCGATCAAACTGCGATGAGGAGATGTTTTTATTGGGGTTGTTCTGCTGATCGGTTGATGAAAAGCATATTGGCAGCTCGTGCGTATCAATCAATGGTCGATCACCTACCGGATGGAGACGCGGATGCCACGCTCTCTCTGTCGGCTGCAAAGTCCACCCGGTCTGGGTGCTGGTTCTCCCGGTCCCGGTGCTGGTTCCCCCGGTGCTGGGTTCTCCCGGAGCTGGTTCCCCCGGTGTCATACAGAACCAGACCCAGGTGTGACCACGATCCCACCGTGTTGTATTCCCATATGCTGCTGTCGCCTGCGCAAATTACGAATGCTCCAGTGAATGAGTGAATGGATAGCCTGTGTGATCATGTGCTGCCAGCTCCCCTCTCTCTCTCCGTGTGTGTGTGTGTGTGTGTGTGTGTGTGTGTGT